ATAACTTTCGTCTCTTCTCCAGGTTCATAGGGTTTCCAGAGGCAAGCTATTATGGAAGTGGATGCCACTCCTGCCTCCAAGCTTGTTTTAATTGAGGAGCTTCACCAAATACTGTCCACCACGAATAACCATTCTCGCAGTGTCACCGTTTTCCGCTTCACAGCAATCACGAGTTACCTCTGTATGTGTGAAAAACCTACAACAAGGAGAGGATAAAATAAATGAATAAGATCTTTTAAGAATAAAATCCCTGTGTACATCCAAAAACTTGTCCAACAGGGTAAAAAGGCAAATCACAGATTAAGAAAAAATATGTGGTAATGACATGCCAGATAAGGGAATTTATAAAATACTTGATCACCACAACAAGATAAAGGTAAACAACCCAATTTCAAAATGGGCACAGAATATGAACAGACACCTCACAAAAGAAGACATTCAGATGACAAACACATGGAGAAATTATTAAAATTCCTAGCTCTAAGAGAGATGCAAATCAAAACAACTATGAGATATCATCTCACCCCAGTAAAAGTAGCAAAATTTAACAGAACAGCAAATATCAAATTCTGGGGAGGTTGCAGAGAAACTGGAACCCTATTCACTGTTGTGAGTGTAAAATGGTGCAACCATTATGGAAAGTTGTATGGTGCTTTCTCAAAATGTTGGAAATAGAAATACCATTTGACCCAGTAATTCTACTACTGGGAATACACCCTAAAGAAACCAGAAGTGCTACCCAACCAGATATATGCACCCCCATGGTTATTTTGGCTTTGTTCACAATAGCAAAGAATTGGAAACAACCCAAGTGCCCGTCAATAAACGAATGGATAGAAAAGCTGTGGTATATTTACACAGTCGAATACTATGCTGCATTGAAAAAGAAGGAACTCATGAATACAAAATGAGTGACCCTGGAGGACATTATGCTGAGTGAAATATATCAATCACAAAAGGAAAAATACTGCATAGGGCCACTGTTGTAAAATACGACTGACATCGAGTTTGGGAGGAAACTAAGAAAAGAGGGGATAAATAATGTGTACTACACTGAAACAGATGGGGGAGAGAACCGTATAAAAGGGATATTTGATTAGATATTATTATCATGAAAAGAGCCCAGAATGAAAGCTGCAAATGGAGTAGACTGGGAGGGGGGTGGGATATTATATAACAATGAAACTTTTTTTTTTCTTTTCAAAGAGCAAAGTGAACTGTGAGGGGGTGGGATGGGCAGGGGGTAAAATGTGCAACAATGAATCAATGAAAATCCAAAGTCTCTGTAAACTTCCATTAAAATTAATTTTAAAGCTGTTGTAGTTTAAGCTTGAGAGCAGTACTATTTGGTTTTGGTTTGCCAGTTTAGTTGAATTAATTAGAATACACCAATAAAAGCAGTGTATTTACAGTGATAGGGAACAGTGTGACTGTTTAACAAAGGTGGCTCTTTTATTTTTCAACTTGTGGCGAAAGTAGGGATATCCAAGTCAGAACAAGGCACTTCTAAGAAGCTAAGAGGTAGCTCTAAGTCAATATAATATTTTTAAGTCACATGAATCTAGACTTGACAAAAATCTGTTGCACTATTCAAGTAAGACTTCCCAGAATCTTTATACTAGTAGCAGCAGTTATCCTTTGTTAAAGAAAGATTTAATTTTTTAGTCACCAGCCAGTAAATAAAATTCTCATGTTCAGTGATGTATTAAAAGTGAGCTGTACTCTTATGAAAGAGGATAAATGCAAATATGCATTTAGTTGTGAATAACAGTGTATATAATGAAGTTACATACACCAACCTCATTGACTTGTTGTTATCTAGTTGTTGGCATGGATGTGCGAGCTATCATTTGATGATGGAGACCACTTTTTTTTTTGGTGGGTGAGAGAAGAATTTAGTGCTGCATTGTCCCTGGAGGGGGCTGAGAGGGGTCAGGAGGCTGGGGAGGGGTGGTAGTGGTCAGTCCCTGGGAAGCATTACTCCGTCCTTTGTGGTGGCCCCGGACACAGTGTGTATGACCACAGCCCTCGTCTTCCACCTCATCGCTCTCTGTGGAGCTCTCCCCAAAGGCGCGAGGTTTCTCATAAATACAGCAGCATTTTGATGAGCGGCGTCCAATGTGTTCATTGTCCACAGTGTCACTTGTCCATTCCACCTTTTTCTCTGGCTTCCATTTCCGTAGTTTGATGGTTAGGCTCCAATTCTCAAGCTCAGTTGACACGGTAACCGTTGTCTCAGTGATGGGCTCCCTCAGCTCAGACCCTGCCTCATGGCTAAGGCTGAAGGGGAGACCACTTTTTTTGATTGTATGATACTTTGCTGCATTTAGTTGAGGTCTTTGTTTTCACATGAGTGATTCCATGTTTTCTTCCTGTTTATTTAGTCTCGATTTCTCGTACTTTATATTTCATCTCACTCCTAATTAGTGCTAACAGTTCCAGTACAGAGATCAGGGAGTCAAATTGATCAAGCATTTAAGGTTAAAGTTGTATTTAGATGAGAAATGTTCCTGAATAGACACTGACAAACAATATCTCTCGGCAGCAGTGTAATTTTATATTATTTGTATGAGCTAATGGTTGAGTGACAAGAAGCTGTGCTGCAATCCCAAAGGCACACAGTTCAAGGGCACCAACTCCTCCTCAGAAGAAGGATGAGCAATGTCCTCTGATTAACTGCCTCTGAAAATGTGCCAGAGGGTCAACTATAGTTTGGTTTTGACTCTACAGTACACAGCAACAAAAACAAACAAAGGTAGATTTATTTTTCAAGCTGCTTCATCACAATATTGATTCCACTAAATTAATAGTCAGATCTTCTAGATTATTTTTTCCAAGTATATTGTGACTTTGTTCCAATATTCCTAGTCTATATTATGTTGTTATTTTTTTGAGCATAAATAAGAGATTTTGAAGTCGTCTTTAGTTTTGAAGTCCAACATCTCATAGTAATAATTAATCTTGGTTATTATTATATTCCTGTTTTCTGCTGTTTATGTTAGATGACATCAAGTCAACTATGACTCACAGTGACCCTATGAGAAACGTATCTGAACTGTGCCCTATCTATCCCTCACCATCTTCATAATCTCAAAAACACTTGAGCACATTTTTACATTCAATTCAGCTCATTGAGGTTCTTCCTCTCTTTCTTTGACCCTTTATCTTTCCCTAGATGCCATTTTCCAAGGACGGGCTCCCCCCTGACAATATACCCAAAGTGTGTGAGACAAAGTATAAATTTTCAATTGCTTCCTGTGCTTCTGAAATTTGAACAATGGTTACAGAAGATCAGAGAAGAATCGATGCCTTTGAATTGTGTTGAAGAGTGTTGAATATGCCAAAGACTGACAAACAAACCAAAGAACAATTTGCTTTCCAGCTCTGTGAAATTAATATATTTGATGAGAATAAACTTTACATTTTCCTAATAGTTAAATAATTGTGTTAATTTTAAGCATACTGATCATATTAATGGCTTATTTAATTTTCAACAAAAATATTTCATATGTTGCTAATGTAAATTCAAAGCAGCTATTGCAAGAAAAAATACATGTGAAATGGAAAAGCTGGATGGCATTAAAGCCATTTAAATATTTCAAAAATATGAAAGGTCAGAAAAGAACTAGCTATAATAAAAGAGGTTTAAAATAGAATAAAAGAATTTGAATAGTATCTCCAAAAAGTTAAAAAACTATCTGAGATTCTTAAATACTTAAGAAGATAGTTTGAGACACATTGAGACTGCTTGATTCAGGATTAAATTTGGATTAAATAAGGAAAGGATGCTCTTTTTGTAGTTAGGTGCCATCAACTCCACTATAACTAATTGTTGTTGTTTTTATGTGCCGTCGAGTCGCTTGTGACTCATAGCGACCCTATATACAACAGCCCTAAACTCTGCTCTG